GGATTTTGTAGCCAGGCCACGCTTTCGAAGCTGTGTCGGCTCGCTGGCCTTCAATTATTTAATCTTCATAAATTATACCATTAGTGGAAAGAAAGTCAAAAATCACGTGCTGTAAGGGATACCTAAAGGCAAATATTAAAATGACAAGTCATATATTCGGTTGAAATGTATGTGAATCGCGACCAAGGTGTATTACTGTTTAGCTGGATTTTCGATGTATTGTGTATTCCTGATCAAGTCTGACGATCTAAACGAATGATGGATAAGTTCTTCCTACTTTTGATAGACTCAATTAATCAATCATTCTGTTTATCTTGGCCCTAGGTCCTCATCCTCTACAGAAACGGTAAATAAGGTGATGGAAAGATGTCACGACTCTATTGTTGGTGGATCAATGCAGCGGAACCATTCTGATAGAGTATGTAGTCGGGTTGTCATTCTGCTAGACAGCTATATCTTAAACGCATAAAAAGTCTGTCAACCCCTGACTGGATAACTGTGAAGTCCCAACACGAATCCAGCCTGAAACGAGATTAATAAGACCGAGGTAACCGATGAGAAAATGATACATTGATTCCTCTAAGAAACGGTTTAAAAGGAAAGGAAAGTTTGTAACCGTCATGATATAGGGTTCCTTTATCCCTTTTTTATTAGGGTCATTTGTGGCGTCATTCAGTTCGTGCAGCCCGCAGTGCGGCGCTGATCTTTTTTCCTTGATACCAGTCAGCACTGCTATATTTTTAAGGTAGAGTCTACAGCTGTGTAGCATGCATATCATATAGTCTCCTGCTTCTTTTTCGCAGTGTGCTATTCGTTTATGAAACCCGGAAGAGTGAAAGATGAGTGACCGGGTCGTAGCTCAAAGCTGTGACCTCTCCGTCCCGAGTCGAACGCTGAACCGACTGAGCAACCCCGGCCAAGAAATGGGCTTAATCTCGCTTTACACGCGCAGTGAAGAATATTGGCTACGGTGGTTATTGATTTCACAAACAGTATGATGCGTAATTTTGCGTTTTCCCAATGTCAACTATTCTTTGGACGACTATGGTGTTGTTGCAACCGAACGAGTGTAAACCCGGATGCGACAAGCAGAAATGAGGTTTTCCTCCGATGGGTTACTTGTGTGACGAACTCGATTAAGTTAGAGGCATCGAATAGGAGACTCTGCTTCTGTACGTCTAGGGATAATGCTTGCCATTGTTTGGTCATGTGATTATAACACCACAGGAGGGGGTCTCCATGACCATTCACTGGACAAAGCTACGGGGAACAAGGCCTACGGGCAGACAGTTCAGCAAACAGCTCGCTTATGTAGAAGACTTAGTGTTGTTGCACCTTCCAATCAAGGCCGTTAAGCTCGTCTGAAACCAAGATCGTGAGAACGCTTCAT